CTAATTTTTGCATATAACAACGTCAAGCCAATTTTACTTCAAATTTAACTGTTTTTACATCTTGGAATCACCGTTGTGACAAAGTGCATCCGATTTCACTTTTTCAGATTGCAACTCAGGCTTCACAACACAGGTGGAACCAATTCTAACTCAAGTGGAACCAGTTCCACTTCTTCATAATGCAATCCTCGAATAATTCAGCTTCCAGAGCCTCAACAAAGGGTTCAAGTCCCATAATAAGGTTCAATGTGTGAGCAAATTTACCTACTTAAACAAAAATAAATAAATAAATAAATAAACATTCCCACAATAAGAAAGAGACTAAAATTTATAAATTCTAATAATTATTATTATATTGGTGAAAGTAAGACAATATCCACGTTAAGTTATAAAATCTCATAAATTGTAGATTTGAAGTACAAACTTTGATGTTGCGTAATTAAACAGACCAACAATTAACAACTACCCCTTTCCCCTTAAGTAGTACTGGGTAAGTGGGATTGATTAAGAGGTTTTGGATGTCTTTATGCAAGATATATATAAGTTTTAAAATATATTATATTCAAAGACTTAAAAATAATTTATAATAGTTAGTCGATTAGAATCTTATGGCCATAGCTTAATTATCACTAGTCAAATTGAAGATAGATATTTGAGTTGGCAGTTATACATTTTTAAGAGGGAAAAAAAAAAATATTATTATTATTTATTAAATGACCGTTCTATATATTTTTAAAAGGAAAAAGAAAAATAAAAAAATCACAAAATTGACAGCTGTGGGATTTGAACCCACGCTCTTTCGAACCAGAGCCTAAATCTGGCGCCTTAGACCACTCGGCCAAACTGTCTGGTTTGTGCTATGTTTATAAAGAATTATTGATATTGGTTGACTCTATTTCTTTTTTCTTTTTTTGTTTTTGTTTTTATGTTTTTTTTTTTTTTTTTACAACGGTCGACTCCATTTCAAACTTGTGTATTTTAATGTTCACTCTGTTTCCATACCCCAATACTTTTGACTACACCTTTCACATGAACCGACTGATGTATGCTCACCGATGTAAACACTTTTGGAGTGATTGATTCTATCTTTATTAATCACTCATTAATAATCCTTGCTAGAAATTGATGAAGATTGGAGTTCTCCAAAAAAAAAAAAAAAATTACCATCAAATACAACATTATTCATACATTATTAAATACTCCCTCCTTTTGGATTAGGCTGATGATATTGCCATAGGTGAGGGTATCATAATTAATGTTATTTGTGGCTTTACTAAGAATATCTCTAATCTTATGAGCAAAGAAGTTAGGTAATTCATTAATGAATTTTTCTTTCCAGAATGATTTGTTACTATCATCTCTCATCATAACTCTGGATAATAATACATCTTTCGTTTTAAATTGAGTATCCTCGGACAACGCGAACACTTAATTTAAGACTGGGAGTAATAAATATGAGGCTATTGGTACTCATCCACTCACTGTGGAATTCAAATGCAGTATTAATGGTGAATGGTAGTGACAGTACCAGATCTAGGAATTCCTTCTAGTGAGGGCAACTTTTGATTATAATAGAATAAATAATTTAAACCAAAATAATAAATAAAAATAAAAATATTGATGTTAATATATTTTTCCATTACGTTCACAAATTGAGTTCATATAATCAAATTTACTGAAGAATTCACATTTAATGAATGAATAATGATATAATTGTTAGTAAAATAGGAAAATTTTGCAAATATTATAAAAACACTAAGAATTTAACATATCAAATTTTAGAACAATACTTTCAATAAATTTTACACGGTACATCATAAGCACTAAACAACAATTTATTCGTTGAAATAAATATATATAGAATCATGAATTTAATACCTCCAATAATACAATAAATAATATATCCAGGGGACTATTTGCACCAAATCAATAGTATATGAATGTTTTATACTACACATGAACTATTTTGCAATATATTGATAGTAGAGGAGAGTTTTTTGCGCTTAACCCTTAATACTATATCTGATCAAATGTATAGATCAAAGGTGAAATTAAATCCAAAAAATAAAACTAAAAATTATTCTTAGGTGTTGGAAGGCACCGCTCTCCCCATTTATTCAATTTTTTGGGGGAAGGTAAAGCAATGTATAAGTGGGAGCATAAAATTTACAAGGTGATTTAGGCTTCAGAAGAGGCCCAAAAAGAGCCATTGGGCTCAATTAGATGCCCAACCGGACAAAACCATCAATATACTGGCCGTTGGAGCCCATTCATTCAAAACAAAGAACCGTTGCAGCATTGGGATGGATTAGATGCCCAATATGAGAACTATGCAGCAAATAAATATGTAAAATCAGGATCAGTAAATCAGAATAATTTTGCATCATATCATCATAAGAAAATCATGCATGAATACCGTTCCCCAAAAAAATATAAATAAAATAAAAATTCATGTATGAACTATATAGTAATGTACCCAGAAAATTATATGAGAGAGGACACACTTGAACAATTTAGAAATATATAATAGGGTATTATCAAAATGTGAGTAGGAGCATTTTAAATTTTTTAACAACAATTATAGATAATTTGTAAATATTTCCTCCGTCCCAAAAAAAAAAAAAAAATTGTGTCCACCTATCTTTTTTTGGCTATACCAAAATAAGTGTCCCAATTTTAAAATCCAATGCATTGGTTTTTTAATATTCCTAAATTACTCTATTGTCTTGAAATTATAAAAGTAACTCAAATTTAAAAGTAAACAAACATTCTTAAAATCCAGAAGAAAAATCAAATGCAAGCAGGCATCTTGATTAAAGATGAACTCCTTTCTTGATTAAAGATGGTAATGGCTTGAGAGAAAGATGGACCACCGTTGGGTAAGAGCAGCAGAGTAAGTGGATTAGGAGTTCTTCCAATAAGTGTAGCAGAGAGTGTGATTTAGTTGGAGTGTGTTACAGTTGGCACCAAAACTTGGCAGCCATCTCAGCGATGCCTGAACCAATAAGGAGCAAATATAGGAAGATATATTTCAGTCACCTAATGGATATGATAGTTGTTGAAATATAGCAACTCACATTTGACTTTTTTCAAAATGGGCTGTTAACAGAAAATGAAAAGGCTAGAGTTTGGATGAAACTCAATAACTAAATTCCTATAAAATAGGAAGTTTAGTTAGCTGAAAGAAGGAAAGCTTTGGAGACATGTATAGAAGGAAAGCTTTGGAGACATGAAGTGAACAAATCTAATTGTGACAAGTGGCCTTGACATGGCGCTAAAGGATGGGCCACTTGGGATAAAACACGGCTGCCAAGTTTATAAAAGGAAGTTGTTAGAACTTAGCAACTTTTCAGCAACATTTTAGCAACTTACATTTGACTAGATCAAAGAGAGTTTTCAACAAGGATTTTCCTATTGAAGCAAGGGACAAGACGAGATAAGAAGCAAAAGAATACTGGGTTTTGACCTAGTTTGAATAACAAAGTGAAGAAAATCAAGGGAATGAGAGATTTTCTGGCAAGAAGTTAGGAAAATAAGTTGAGAAAGAATTCTATAAGTAGGAAAGATATAATCCTATTCCAAGGGTCCAGCACCACCACAAAACATGCATTTCAACTAAAAATGTTTTCAATTGACTCTACGTCATTTTCCTATCAATTTCTTTATTTCAATTTAATGGCAATTGATTAGATCCTCGTCAATTATTTCGATTCAGCCATTTACTCTCTTTCAATTTCAATTATGCCAATTTTAATTACGCAATTTTAGTTAGGCTTTCAATTCAATGGCAATTGATTAAATTCTTGCCATTGAATCGTAGTGACAATGATTAAATTCTTGTCATTACTTGGCTGATGACAATTGATTAAATTCTTGCTATCACGTTTCGGTGGCGATCGATTAAATTCTTGCCATTGTGTTTGGTTGATGGCGATTGATTAAGTTCTCGCCATCACGTTCGGCCGGCAATCGATTAAGTTCTTGCCGCCTGTCTTCACTCGGCCATTCCATCCATTCAAACATTCATCAGCCGTTGCATTTCTTTAGACACTCTAAAAAGTCCTTGCTACAAACAAGGCATAAAAGAACCTTGCTGGGAGTTCTTACTAGTCTCTCTCCCACACAATCGCCTGAGAGTCAGCCATCGGAAAAAGGGATAGGCTGGTGTTCAATTACATATTTTGGGTATTTTGTACAAATACTCTGGCACGCCTGCGAAGAGTCCATCGACCGGCGTAGGGAACAAAAACCGCGCGAACACGTTTTGGCACGCCCGGTGGGACCGCTACTAGAGTGTTATAAAAGAGGCAAATATGCCGCGGCCCACAAAAAATTCTAAGGCCGTGGCTACTGATGAAGATTTGGAGGAAGGCGATCAGCCAGTACTGGATGAGAACTCTGCAGCAGGTCCTACTGATGAGTTAACCGTACTTCAAGCACAGGTTAGCTCCTTGGTAGATGCAATGGGAAGGATGGGAGCACGCTACAACGACTTGCATGAAAATATGTCCCAACTCTCAGCCTTTATTTTGAACAAGTCGACTCAAGCTAGCAGCTCCAACAATCAGGAATCGGCTTCTCAGCCGAATCTATCACAAGCTGCTCGGCCAGAGAGGGCCATTGAAACATCACAGCCATGGCCGCCAGTAGTGACACTCCAACCAGGTGCAACATCAAGTCAGCCGGTTCATACGCTACTCACCTGGGCAGAAAGCTATCCTCAGCCTACGTTGGCAGGTTCTAATCAGCCACCAGTAGCAGGTTCGCGGCCACAGGTAATTCCACCAAACCCTCCTCGGATGCCTTTGAACTCGGGGGGCAATCAGATCAGGTGGAGGCCACCGAACCCACTGTATACTCATGTGCCGCCACAGGTAGGGCTCGGGGGGCAGAATATGGCTAATCAGCCACATGATTGGCCGAATTGCTATCAACCAGCGGCTAATCAGTCGCCAGTTTTTAATCAGGTACCACCAATATTAAATTAGCCACCTCAAGTCATGTTAGATAGAAGACAATTAGCTGATTTACTCACAGAAGAATATGGCCTGGAACTTAGAGGTGCCGGCCGACCAATTTATAGAACTCTTTATCTAGAAGTGGTAGACCAAGTTGAGTTCCCTAGAGGATATAAAGTCCCTGACTTTGTAACCTTTAGTGGAGAGGGGAATCAATCGACCGTGGAACACATTGGCCGATTCACGGTTCAATGTGGAGAGGCCAGTGTTAACCCGTGGTTGAAATTGAGACTTTTTCCTAACTCTTTAACAAGGGCAGCTTTTTCATGGTATATTCGTCTACCTCCTAACTTTGTTTTTAATTGGCCACAGATGGAGGAATTATTCCACAATCAGTTCTATCGTATGGAGACAGAACCTACTCTGGCCGATTTATCCAGGCTAAGTCAATTGCCTAGTGAATCGGTCGAGACATTCATTACAAGATTCAGGAGATCAAGATTAAGATGTCGTGTACCTCTTCCAGAACAGGAGTACATTCGTTTGGCTTTGAATGGCCTTGATTTTGAACTTCGGAAGAGGTTTGAAGGAGTTCCATTTCGTGACATGTATGACCTGGCTGAGAAAGCTACCAGGTATGAGTTGGTTCTCAAAGAGGAGAAAGAACGAAAAAATTCCTCTAAAGGTACGTACTATAGGGACCCCAACTATGAAGTTTATTCAACTGATGTGGTTGAAGAGGAAGATTTTGAAGCTAATTTAGCCGAAGTCATTCTAAAGAAGCCTTATGTATGTGACACTTTAACAAAACCAAATGTATCCACCAGTGGTACTCAGCCATCGACTTCATCGGCCAGGAAGGGTACGGCTGATACTGGTAAGGTTTATACGTTTGATCTGGCCAAAACAGAACAAATTTTTGATCATTTGTTGGCCGACAAACAAATCGTTTTGCCAAAAGGACATAATATACCATCGACCAATGATTTAAAAGGAAGAGAGTTCTGCAAATTTCATAATTCATGGAATCATACTACTAACAATTGTTATGTATTTAGAAATGTATTGCAGAAATCTATCAATGAAGGTGTATTAAAATTCCCTGAAAAGAAGCCAGATGTAATGGGGGTCGATGGCGATCCATTTCCTAATATTTTTAGTACCAATGTAATCAGCCTGGCAACTGAAAAAGCCGCTGATAATGGTAGACAGGAAAGATTACCAAAAGTTCTTGGTAGTTCATCGGCCAGTAATGATGAGCAGAAAGTTAATGTGACACCCCCCCACATTTTTCACGCATAAGTTGATCAGGCTTATACACGAAAAACGAGGGATATCAAAAACAATTGGCAATATACAAGCATGGAATACAAAATGATGATAATAAAAGAATTTAGACAGGAAATGAACACTAAATAATACAACATCCATCCATCCTTTATTTAATACCGTACTTCATTACAACTTGGAAATCCTATGTCAAGGATCCCTAAATATAACCCTGAGAGTTCAACGTCAAAAGTAAATAAAAACTGAAACTGAAGTAATACATAAAACTTCTACCCTGAACTGGATCGTAAGAGTAGATGAGTTCGGATGGTGGTCCCACACTGCTAACCTCAACCTTGGAACGGGTACTGACCGTATCCTGAAATAACAACAATGGTGGGTCAACCCCACGAGCAAGTCCTCTCTACTATGACCCAAATCAGAGAATCAAATAAATTAATCATTATGAATCGGTTGAGTACTATATCTGTATACATCCTAAGGGAACTATCCAATGTATAACATGACCTCAACCAGAATAGACGGTGATCACTTAGACTCACACTAGGTGGTTAAGTGTCGCCTTTCCCTACCCGGGAAATCAGCTATTATACATGGTGCACAGTACTGACAACACAGACTATAACGAACTACACAGTGATAACACCTCGCAAAGTACTGATAAACATACTGAGCATATAAATTAGGCAACACATGCCAGCAATATTAATAAATATACCGAGTATGTCAATTAGGCAACACATGCCAATAATATTAAACCACATACCCCGACAGCCACACATCTGTCTATAGCAACGAATGCATAAGGTATAAATGAGTCTAAACTTATTAGCCAGCTCATATGGTTCTATATGGCAACACATCCATATAATATAAATGCGACATAATTAAACAGTCCATTTATTTCCTGAAATGCACACAGCATAATAATCATGGTTTATATATCATTTAACAGTATAAACAACCCATAAGATATCATGGATAATTTATCTGACGAAAACCATGGCATTATTTAATTTAACAGTAATGTTTGATACCATTTAATAAGATAATAACACTATTTATATTTAACAATGTCGTTAAATAAATCACATTAGTATCCGTACTGTGAACGAGCCAATAAATGCTTAGAAAAGATTAATCGGTCATCAGAATAAGTAACGGGTATTAAAATAATAATTTCGTGGCCCGTTAAACCCGTAAATATCAACACAGTACCTAAAAATCCAAGTTTAAGGTTCTGGAATTTACAAAACAGTCCCTAGGGGTATTCTGGACTTTTCCAGTAGCTGTAGAGACCTCACACGCGCCCTCACGCGCCTCCCAGAGCTTCCCACACGCGCCGCCACTTTTCTCACACGCGCACGCGCTTACACGCGCCTTCACGCGCGTCTAGAACCTCCCACGCGCGTCTGGCATCAGCCACGCGCGCGCACGCGCTCCCACGCGCGTCTGGAGAGTTCCACGCGCGCGCACGCGCTGCCACGCGCGCACTAATGCATCCTGATGACGCGGCACTTGCTGATTCGTTGGTTGCATGGTCTTGCTATGGGCGCGCTACACTGGATGAATCTACCTAATCCAAAGGTTCTTAATCCGGGTGTACTGCAGTATCATGAACTGCGATGCACCGGATCAATCAGACTCTACCAATGGCCAGGATGCACGCGCGCACTAACCTACCATGCGCCGCATCACACCGGATCACTCCGGTCATCTTCTTCACTGTCGGTGGCCGGAATCCTCGCCGGAGGCTCGCCGGAAATTGCAGAAATGCCCCGGAAAAATCTAGAAAATTCTAGAAATATCCCTAAAGCCTTATTTAATTATTTTCAGCTATATTTTAATTACATAGGCTAATAAATAAATAACTAACCTCTTTAATAATTAAAACACATTATTTTAATAAACTAAAAATAATTTATTGAAACTCCTAGCATGGTTTCTAGTCTCTAAAAAACCCGAAATAAATTAAATGAATAATTTATGGATTCAAAGGGGAAAAGTAGATAATAACTTGCCTTTTTGGATTTAAAATAAATCCGCCGGTTGCGCGTAGTCGGGTAAATTCCCTACACCGGTCCAAGCTCCTTTCTTTCTCTCTCTTCCTTTCCACACTTTTACAATGGCTCACTAGAATTTATAATTTGTTTCTAACTCCCTTTCTTTCCTTCTAAGGTAGGCTAGCTAATTTATATACAAATTATATAATATAAATATTACAAATATCTATTTTTGTATTTAATTAACCACATTCCCAACCATAAGGCTTTAAGGCTAGCAAGCCAAGTCAAGCAAGATGTCCTAAGGTAAATCCTATCCTAAGATTTAATTTTTCATCATTACATTGATTTAATACTAATATTATTATTAATAAAACTTTTATAATAATAATTATTATTATATTATTATTATTATTATTATTATTATTATTATTATTATTACATAAGAATACATTATATCATTATAATACTTTATAATATAATACTTTAATTAACTAATAATGATTAATATAAGCATAACCAACAAATAAAATTATTAATAATAATACATGCATAATTAAATGAATAAATTTACTATTTTAACATACACAATTAATTTACATGCACCATTAAATGAACTTAATATAACAATGTAGCATGCACAATAATAGGTAAAGAAATCCACACATAAATGAATTTAAATAAACTAAACTCTTTAATAAAATACGGGGTATTACATTCTCCCCCCCTAATAACGGAATTTCGTCCCCGAAATTCACTACATACCTGTATTAAAGAGCTCTGGATACTTGGCACGGATAATATCTTCCCGTTCCCAAGTAGACTCTGTAGCACTATGATGACTCCACTGTACACGTACTAATGGAATAGTCTTCGTGCGCAGTATCTGATTCCTACGATCGAGAATACAGTAAGGTTGTTCCAAATAGGTTGCATCGGGTTGCAACTCAATTTCACCCACATCAATGTGTTGATATCGATCTTCTTCCCGTAGAAATTTTCGCAGCATAGATACATGAAAAACATTATGTACCCTATGAAGATTATCTGGTAGAGCCAGACGATAAGCTACTGCCCCAATCCGATCTGTAATCATAAAAGGACCCACAAAACGAGGCGATAACTTACCCTTTGACCCAAACCGCATTACTCCCTTCATAGGAGAAACCTTAAGCAAAACCTGATCACCAACCTTAAACTCCAAAGCACGAGTTCGACGGTCAGCATAACTTTTCTGTCTGCTTTGAGCTGTACGCATCCGATCCCTAATGATAACGATCTTTTCTGACGTGTCCTTAATAAATTCAGGACCCAAAAAGCTGTTCTCACCAACTCCAAGCCAACAGACAGGAGACCTACACGGTCTACCGTACAAAGCCTCAAATGGTGCCATACCAATAGTTTTCTGATAACTATTGTTATAAGCAAACTCTGAAAGCGGCAAATATTCCTCCCAATTGCCCTTAAAATCAAGAACACATGCCCGCAACATGTCTTCTAAAATCTGATTAACTCGCTCAGTCTGTCCATCTGTTTGAGGATGATAAGCAGTGCTAAGATAAAGTTCTGTACCCAAAGCCTGCTGGAAGCTCCTCCAAAATCCTGATACAAACTTCGGATCTCTATCTGACACGATGGACAATGGTACGCCATGAAGTTTCACCATTTCTGCAATATACAGCTTAGCATACTGTTCTGACGTAAAGTTTAACCGAACAGGCAGAAAATGAGCGGACTTGGTCAATCTATCAATAATGACCCAAATAGATTTGTGATTATGCTGTAAAGTAGGTAATCCCTCTATGAAGTCCATGGAAATACTCTCCCATTTCCACTCTGGTATGGGAAGTGGCTGTAACGATCCTGGCGGTCTCTGATGATCAATCTTAATCATCTGACAGGTGCTACATTTAGAGACAAAGATAGCTATATCTCTTTTCATGCCGGCCCACCAAAACTGGCGTTTCATGTCCTGATACATCTTGTCTCCCCCTGGATGTACAGAGAACTGAGAAGTGTGTGTCTCTCTCATCACAACATTTCTCAGATTGTCAGCTGAAGGCACAATTAAATGTCCATTGTACCTCAATCCTCCATCAGTCCCTATAGAATAAAAAGGAACATCTCCGGAGGCTAACTCCGAAACCCGATCAATACACTGTTGATCTGAGAGTTGCGCTTGAATGACCTGATGAATGATGGAAGGAGTTACTGCCACACATGCCATAAAAGCGTCTGCTAACTCATCAACAGTCTTCAAAGCATCCCACTCTGTTGCAAACAAAGCTGAAAGGCTGACATAGGGTCGGCGGCTGAGTGCGTCTGCTACAACATTCGCTTTCCCTGGATGATACTGAATAGAGAAGTGATAGTCTTTCACGAACTCCAACCATCTGTGCTGTCTCATATTCAGTTCCCTCTGTGTGAACAAATACTGTAGACTCTTATGATAGCTAAACAATCGAAAAGTCTCCCCCAAAAGATAATGTCTCCAAATACGCAAGGCAAAAACCACTGCTGCGAGCTCTAGATCGTGAGTCGGGTAATTAAGCTCATGAGGCTTAAGCTTCCTAGACCCATAAGAAACTGGTCGCTCTTCTTACATCAACACATAACCCAAACCCTTCAGAGAAGCGTCGGTAAATACTAAATACTCGATTCCACTCTGAGGTGTGGCTAAGACAGGTGCAGAAGTTAACTTGCTCTTCAATTCAGCAAAAGCAGTCTGACAAGAATCATCCCATACAAATGGTACATTCTTCTTAGTCAGATGAGTAAGTGGACCCGCAATTTTGGAAAATCCCTGGATGAACCTGCGATAATACCCCGCCAATCCCAGAAAACTGCGAATCTCTGTCGGTGAGGTAGGCTGTCCCCACTCCATAACGGCCGCAACCTTGGCTGGATCTACTGCTAACCCTTCTTCTGACACTACATGTCCCAGAAATTTGACCTCTTTCTGCCAAAATTCACACTTCTCAAACTTCGCAAACAACTGATGTTCTCGAA